AATTATTGGGTCACTCTCACTGCAATTCTCACAAAGAATTTGGGTTATTATATTTAATAAATAATTTTTAAGCACATAAATATCTACTAAATCTAAATATCCAGGATCACACATTACCACCTCTAGTGTCTATATATCCCTGATATCCCATTAGCTTAATTAATCTTAATGAAGCTTCTAGCAGGAAGAGTTTTTTAAAAGCTTTTCTGCTGTGTTTTCATGGTAAATGTACAGTCAAAATATAAAAATTACAAACTTTGTGGAAATTCCCTGTATGTGACCAGCAGTTCCTGTAAATAAAGAGGGTTTTTTTCTGATTTTTGTGGGGTTCAGAGAACAAAAGGCAGAGATGCTGAATTCAGAAAGGCTGTGATCAAAACTTTGGGATTTCTGGGGGTGGCCTTGGAGGACAACTCAGAAATTCAGTGTTTTAGAGGAAAATTTAGTGTTTTAGAGGATAACTCAGAAATTCAATGTTTTAGAGGACAATTCAGAAATTCAGTGTTTTAGAGGATAACTCAGAAATTCAGTGTTTTAGAGGAAAATTTAGTGTTTTAGAGAGTAACTCAGAAATTCATTGTTTTAGAGGATAACTCAGAAATTCAGTGTTTTAGAGGAAAATTTAGTGTTTTAGAGGATACCTCAGTAATTAAATGTTTTAGAGGACAACTCAGAAATTCAATGGTTTAGAGGGTGACTCAGAAATTCATTGTTTTAGAGGACATTTCAGTGTTTTAGAGGGTAACTCAGTAATTCAGTGTTTTAGAGGATAACCCAGAAATTCAGTGTTTTAGAGGATAATTCAGTGTTTTAGAGGGTAACTCAGAAATTCATTGTTTTAAGAGGGTAACTCAGTAATTCAGTGCTTTAGGGGATAACTCAGAAATTCAATGTTTTAGAGGACAATTCATTGTTTTAGAGGACATCTCAGAAATTCAATGTTTTAAGAGGGTAACTCAGAAATTCCAAGTTTTAGAGGACAATTCAATGTTTTAGAGGATAACTCAGAAATTCAGTATTTTACAGGGTGACTCATTAGCTCAGCATGGCTGTGTTTAATGGGGAGAGGGTAAGGAATTATTTTCTGGCACCAAATGTTTGGGAGTTTCCCGTTAAACTTTTGGAGAGTGATTTTAGCATGACAACCCTTCATTTGGAGCAATTTTTAATATTGAATTTCAGCAGCATAAACTCACAAATGATATTCTCCAAACAATCCTGGAAGGCTGAAAGGAGGAATAGGAAATCCTGATGAATTTTGAATTTTCCCTCTGACCTGGAGCTCCTGAGAGTGATGTGGAGCTGGAGGTGTTGGAGCCAGAGTGGGAAAGCAGAGCAGGAGGGATTTGGGATGGGATTTGGGATGAGTCACCTCTGTCTGAGTCAGTGCTAAAAGCCATTGAGCAAGAGTGGCCCAGCTTGGCTATTTTTAATATTTGCTTACTCACATTTACTGTACTAAGCTCTTTACAGGAAAGGTAGTTGAGAGCCGTAGTAAGCTCTTAAAACCACTTTCCATGGCAGCAGCTCCTTTAATTTGTCTTTCAGTGCTGCTTTTTCTGAGCTGTTTAATTCTGGGTGGAATTCTTGCGCTGCACTGTGGTTCTCACAGGATTGCCTCTGGACCTCCAGGGTGAAATTAGACTTTCAAACCTCTGGTAGTACCCAGAGCTGTTTTTTCACCTCACCAGGTGGAATTTTACCTCCAAAGTTTAATAAATAATAAATCATCCCGAGGTTTTAGCCACGATGGAATACACAAGTCCCAGCTTTGCTGTTGCAATATCCACCATCCTTAGGGTGCTGCCCTTCCTCTGGAGGCCTGGAAGGTGCAGCCCTGGCTCTGAGCTGTTCTCCTCTCTCCAGCTGTTGCCAGCTGTGGCTGCAGCAGGAGGAAGCCCAGCAGGTTGCTTGGGGTAGCTTCGTGTCACCGGCTTCAGCGGTGGCTTCCTGTTTACTGCTGCTGAGGGAAGGCAGCAGAGAGCTGCAGGAGTGGATTTGCTGGCAGGGTTTGTAGCCACGAGTTGGGAATTTTGTGTTTTCCTTTTCTTTTCCAACGTTCCCTGCCACACAACCAAATCCCTCGAGTTTGGTGTTGGCAGCGGAGCTGGGAAGGGTGAGCGGGGTGATGGCTCTGCAGGGCAGAGGTTGGGTTTGGGTGAGGATAAAATGGAGCTGAGAGAGCTCCTGGAATCAGCAGGACAGGAGAGAACTCCTGGAATCAGCCTCATGGGGATCCCAGGAGAGCAGAGCCCAAAGATCTCCCCAGCAGCAGGAAAATGCTCCTGCATCCAAAGCTGCTCCTGCATCCAAAGCTGCTCCTGCATCCAAAGCTGCTCCTACGAGAGGGAGGCAGAGCTGCAGCTGGGAAATTGCTGCTGCTTTGAGCTTCTGGAGAGCTGAAATCAAATCAGATCTGCACCAAAAAATGAACTGGCTGTAAACTTTTATGAAACTACTCTTGGCCAAAGCAAGGAATTGAGCTACTGTCAGTTTTCATCACACACAGACAGTGCTGGCAGTGCAGACAGACTCAGAAGGTAGAAGTTCACATTCCTCTCATGATTTTTGACTTTGGATTCTGAAATATAGATTATATGTTCAAAGTTGGGGGTTTTTTCAGCTTTCCTGTATGTGTAAGACTCACAGGATGATGAATCCGGAGTTAAAAACCACCTGGAGTTACCAGGCAGCTGCTGCAGAAACGGCACAAGCAAATGTTTTCTAAAAAGCGAGTTCTAAAACTGTAAATAAACACGAGATGATTCAGCCCTAGCAGAACTGAACAGAAGAGTTTATTTGGATTGTTAAGCTGGAAGAGAAGTGAGGTTTTCTAGGGCAGGGAAGTTGTTGGTGCCAGGCTGGAATCGCTGTTGGGTGGGACGTGCAGCAGAGGCTGTGTGATGGGTGTAAAGGCAGCTTTGGGCATTCTGGCACCTAAATCTCAGTGACAGGACAATTGTGTGAGCTGCAGGATAAATTTTCAAATCCATAACCCCAGCAGGGACTCCCTAAGGAAGGGAAAACAAAAAACGCTGCTCATCACTGCACTGACGTGTCCCAGCGCCGCTGAGCCACTGTTGACACAATTCTCAGATACAAACATGTAAAATTTACTCCTGTTCAGCCAGTTAGTTAAAAACAATGGGTGTATTTGTCCAAGAGATTGAATGAATGGAAGGTAAATATTTGGGTTGCTTGCCAGGGTGATCCTGGGCTCATGGCTGGCAGGAGACTCACACCAGCAAACTCTGAATTGTAGCAGCTCCTGCAGAGTTAAACTGGTTAAACTGGCCAGTGAAAATTCTTAGATGAAAACGATTGGTAGAACTTTGTGTGGCTGTAAAAAAACCAACCCCAACAACTCTGTAATGGTGTCTGGAAGCGCTGAAGTTTGTTAGGGGGTGGTGCTGGAGGGCAGGACTGGATTTACAGGTTCTCAAACACAGAATTGTCTCGGGAGATAAAACTGATACCAGACAAATAACAGGGTGTTCCTCTGGTTGAGGCAGAAAGCAGCTGTTAGATAAAACTTTAACTGCAGCTGGCTGCTCATATTCTGCAGGAGAATCCCTGGGAAACCTTGGGGAAAGGGTCCTTAGCATCCCAGAGGAGCCAGAGTTCTGCTTTTGGCCACCGAAGGGAGGCACAAGGACCTTGGCTTTTGGCAGAGCTCGAGTTGTTTACTGAGACAACTTTCTGAAGGCTTCATTTGGCTCTCCCTGATTGGCTTCTTCTGTTTCAAGTGTTTTCTGCCAGTTTCTTTGTTTGATTTTTTTTGGGGAAGAAAAGAGTCTTCAGCTGGGAGAAATTAAAAGGGTTTTTTTTTTTTTTTCCCAGTCTTTGTTGCAGTTGGGATCGGAGAAATACAATTTAAGGGGAGATCTGAACCACATCATTTCTTTGTCTTCTTTCCAGGTGGCATTTAGGGCTCAGCTCCTCTTTTTGATGGTGGCAATATAAGAATTCAGAGCAGGCACTATGAGGATTCATTAAAGCCTGAAAATACAAAAGTAATTGCAAGCAAAACAAAGCATATCCTGGGGGAGAATTCACTCATCCAGATTTGAATCTGCAGTTCAAAGGGATGAGTTGAGATGCAGATAGAAGATCCCTTCTCAGAGGACTTGCAAACCTCATTTTGCTCCAGACAGGTCCATTAATTGTCCCACTTCCTTCCCCTGACTACAGGAGATAAATATCTTTACAGCCAGCCATGAGTACAGGTGTTCTCTGGTGATCTGTTTATAATAAAAAGAAATTGCTGTGTTTCTCCCAACAGATGGGCAATAAATAACTGTAGTTCCCACTTGTATTAAAAATTATGTTTCAGTGGCATTTGGTTCTTCCTTGGGTTGTCCATTTTTCACCATGAAGTGCTTGAGCTGCTCACTCTGCACTCACTTTTCTAAACTGAAAACGTTGTTTGGTTTGCACACCAAACCAGTGCAGCCTAATAAATCCTCTTGGGAATTTTTAGCGTTGGAAAAGTCATATTGTCCACTTTCCATGGAGCCTGACAAGATCTTGTGCACCTTTGTGACAAAATACAGATGGGGGCTAGAGCAGGACTTGAAATTAATAAAAGGGGAGCAGAGAGAGGGGTTTTGAAGATCAAATTTCTCTCGATGTGAGTAGTAAATCCCAAGTTTATGGTGGAATTTCATGGTTTTCAGCTCTATAATAGCAGGAATGTTTCTTGGTTAGGGGATATTTTTGTTATTTTTGTTTTGCTTTTAACAGGTGAACAAAAACAGTGAAGTTTTGTTTAGGCCTCGTTTTAAATCATGAGCCCTTCAGAGTGAACTTTAAACAATGTCTTCTCACCACAAAGGAAAAAAAGTAAAAAAAAAAAAAGGCAGATCATCAAAAAAAAAGTCTTACCAAAGTGCAAAACCACCACAGGAAGCACATGACTGCCAGATCCGGGGGGTTCAGGTGCTCTGCCCTTCTCACAGGAGATGCTGGCCACAGTCAGAAGCTCTGTAGGGCCTTTGGAAGGGATCTGAGTGGCAGCAGGTGGGTGATGTTTATTTTGAAAGCACCTTGAGTTCAGTTTGCTCTTCTGAGGTGAAGTTGGGGCTGGTCCTTGCCCTCAGGAATTTGTGCTCCTTGAGAGGAGCTGCGATGCCCTCAGGGCTTCTGGCTCAGCTCCAGAGCAGGATGGTGCTGGACTAAAGGAATTTTGTTAAAGGAATTTCATTCCTCTGTTCAAAAAGGAATTTTGCAGGTGCAAACCCTCCCCTGCTGCTGGTTCCCTCTGTGAGGCCAGGTGAGCTCCATGGGTGTGGTGGCTGATGGTGGCACTGAGATGATCTTGAAGGTCCCTTCCAAACCCAAATCCGTGTTTTTATGGAGTGGATGTTGCAGGAGGGGAGGAGTTGTGCACCCAGTGGAAATGAAAAAGCTCAGGAAGAACATCTGGAGCTGCTCTCAGGAGCAGGAGGGAAGTGAGGCTTGGTGAGCCAGCAGGAGGGACCTTCACAGCAGCTCCGTGGCCACCCAGCCCCGGCCCCTCCGCGTGTTTTAAACACTCAGAAAACAGAACCTGGGAGAAGTTCACCTGCTCAGGGGGTTGGGAGGAGCTGCTCCCTTAGGGTGGGATGTGGGAGAGCTGGCCCTGACATCCTGGTGAAGTCAGCAGCTCGTTTCATTTCTCCTCATTTACAGAAGGGACACGTTGGGAATGTTTCTCACCAGTCTTGGCTTTGCTAGAGCTCAGCTGCTCGCTTGTTTTGGTTTGCTTCTTACCAAAGGTGTAAGGTCACAATTCCAGGTGCTGGTGAATCCATCCGTGCCTGCTTTTTCCTTCAAAACTGGTGAAAGGTGGGATTCCCTTGATGAGGAGCACCAGGGGGAAATGGAGAAGGTTGTTGGGCTTGTTTTGCAGCAGTGGGGTACAAACTGTTCCTTTGGAATTATGATCTAAGGAATTATCCAGTTATTTTTTAATAATTTAATATCAATTATTAAATTAATTAATTAAATTACCAAATAATTAATAATACAATTTAATAATAATTAAATTAATATAATGGATAATATAATTAATATAATGGAATTATCTAAGGAATGGGTGTCTTCTGGGACCTGGGGATCATCCCTTGTCCACCAGCACAGCCTGTGGAGTAAACAAATTCTCTTAAATGAATGAGGTGAGGTGGGATGGACTCTGGCTTATAAAACTTGGTTTTTAGGAGAACTTGGAGCTCTGAGAGCCTGTAGATGCCTCACGAGCCCCCGGAGGTTTCTTTGTGCATCATTTCAGCGTGGTGGGATCTGTGAGATGTTGAGGCTTGGGAGAACAGGATGAAGTGACCTCTCTTGCTCCTGCCTGGTTAAAGAGGGGAGGAATTCTCCAGTTTCAGACCTTCGTGTGGAAGGTGTGAGCCATGAAACCGCTTTCACCTCCTCCCTGGTGGCTTTTCCTGCTTGGGGAAGCTGCTCCAGCAGTGCCCTGGCCGTGTGTGTGTGCAGGGTCAGCTGTGTGGTGATGCTGGCCTGCTCTGCTCTCCATGAGCAATGGCACGTGTTGGGGTGGGATTTCCTCCATTCCACCTTCATTTCCATCCTTCCCACTGGGATGGATCCATGAGTGCAGCGTGTTCTCCTCTCTTGGAGAAGGCAGGGCTGTTCCTGGGCTCTCCCCGAGTGCTGGACCAAAGCCGTGGAGTTGTTGCTGTGCGTGATGTGTGTGACCCCTCCTCGCTCCCTGCGCCTCCTTCCCTTTCAACCCGCTCCCGTGGAACTTGAACTTTATCCGGAGCCCTGCCGAGGGTCAGTGCCCACAGGAACCGGCTCTGCACAGCCCTGAGCTCTTTCTCCTGCCAGAAAGCCGAGGTGTTTGCCAGGATGAGTGATTTCCCTGGAAGTTTCTCCACGTTTGAAATGCCCCTCAGGAAACTCCTGGACTCAGCGCGGTGTCACCGGGAAGAGGCCGCGCTTCCTGGAGCTCTGCTCCTCTGCTGGGAAGGTGGGGTGGCTCTTTTCCAGAGAATTCCCATCCCATCTTCCATCCCCAAACCGCCTCAGGCACGGGGATGAGAGAGGAGAACATCAAGGAAGGAAAAGGATCGTTAATGCCGCGTCCCAGGCCGGAATAAAAACAAATTATCCGTGTAAATCCCTTTCAAACCGGACTGACCCCTCAGCCCCGTCAGCATCGGTCTGAGCAATAATGCTGTTTTTTAAAGTAGTTGTGAGGAAAAACTAATTACAGAAAAATGGGGTTGTTGTTGGAAGGTTTCCATGATGATTTCTTGAGGATTGAGACCTCTCCCTCCAAGGAAACTGATCCTGGTTTAGCAGAGAAGTGCTTGGGGTTGACTGTACAAGGATATAATAATTGGTTGTAAACCCTGAGAATTGTATCATTTCGAGTTATTATACCAGAAATTGGGGATGAAAAGAGAATTAATCACACATTTATTTAACTGAAGATGCCCCTGCTCATTGCAGAGGGGTTGTGACCTTTAAAGGTCACAAAAAACAGACGATGAAAAATTGGTCATTAGAGCAGCCCAGTCTGTATCCAAAGGAAAATCAGGCTGGAAAGAGCAGGAAATACAGAAAAAAAAAAAGGGATTTTGTCTTTGCGTGCTCCTGAATCTGCCCCAACCCTTACAGGTAGAAAAATAAAGACAGAACAATTCACACCCAACTCTCTGAGAGGGCTGAGAAACTTCTTCCCACTTTGGTGACACGTCATGAACTTCAGAGAAATGCTGAAAGCGCCTTGGAAAGGCCCAGGGAAGGAGCAGGGTCAGTTCTCGGGGTGCAGCAGAGCACTCAGACTGCTAAAAATGGAAATATTTAATATCTGTTCATATTTACATGCTGCTATTGGAGCTGGCTGGTTTTCAGTTCTTGAGAACTTTGCTGCACATCAAACACTTTGGGTGAAAATTTCCATTCTGTGCCCTCCTGGCCTTATTTAAAAAGACAATTTTATAACGTGGAGCAGTCAGATCACAGCATGGATTCCACAGGAAAACCCAAAGGGGAATTACTAATTCTGTATGAATGGATCACTCTGAATAAAAGCATAAAATAAACACAAAAATGAAAAATGAAAACAAATAAAATGTACATTTGGTGAGAGAGCCCTGTGGAAAACAAATAGCACGTGCTCATATATCTAAATTTTCAGTGAGATTAAGAAACCTGAAACCAAATTGGCTGAGAGGGCGAAAAAGAGGAAGAATTTGCAAATGTTGCTTCAAAGTGAGTTTTGGGTTGATTTTCTCTGGGATTTTCCTGTGTTCGTGTTTTAGGGACTTTTGCATCTTTGCATTTGGCTTCCAGGGTCCTGGTTTATGGTGAAGGCTGGTGTTGGTGGAGCAGCATCCTTCTGCTTCAAGGAAGATTTGCACAGAGTTTCAAAAAGATTTAATTTCTGCATCTGCCTTTTCTTAATTTTTGAGGCATTTTAGAGGGCAGTTTAATAAATATTGGTGTACATTTGGTTTTATTCTTAAAAATGCTGGAGCTGCTGGGTTTCAAATGTAACAAATCATAGCCAGTTTTTACCCAATATTATTTTCTCCCAAATATCCTAATAGTTTAATAGCCAAACTGATTTTGAACAACCCAACTTTACACTTCCCTCCCCCTATTTCATAATTTCATAATTAATTCTGATACCAGTTTTTGAGGGCTCTGTCTGCCTCACCTGGCTTCCCTTGACCAGCCATGGTCAGGATTTTAAATAACCAGGAAAAGCTTTGCTATGAAGTGAAATTAAAAATCTGCCTGAGAAAAGCAGATGCTGTCCTTGGAGCAGAGACTGGAAAATCCACAAAAAACAACTGGTGAGGCAAAGGATAAAATAAAATAACATAAAATAAAATAACATAAAATAAAATAAAATGATAAAAATGCCCTTCCTATCTCAGAGCTGTGGGAATTTGGCTGTGCAGCTGTGGGGAAGGATGCTCAGAGCAGGAATTTTTCTGTCTCCAAGGGAGGATTTTTTGGAAAAGGTGAATCCCTGACAATGAGAACGGCTGGGAAAGCCATTAGGAAATAATAAATCAGAGTTTGGATGTTGGGGTGGTTTGGTTCATCCCCAGAAGGTTTTGTAAATGAGGCAGCACTTAAAGGTTTTGAGGATTCTGGGAATTGCTGTGACTAAAAGCAAGAGTGGGAGCTTTTAACCAAAGCAAAGCAGCTCTGTTGAAAAACAAGAAATTTGATTTATGAATCTGTAAAAGGCAGTGGTTTTACATTCCCCCTCACACTGAAAAACATCTGGACAATCTTTTTAACATTAGGCCCACACAGACATTAAAATATATCGAGCTTCAGTTGTATTTAATTTAAAAGGAGGTGGTTTTAATGAGATTGAAGTTAATGTATTTCACCTTTTGCATTTCAACTTTATTGTGCTGTGCAGAAATAATTCCTGGTTTGTCTGCATATCCCAAAAATCACACTCTCAATTACTTCTTCCCCATATTATTGCCAAGGGAACGTGTCTGGAAACTCAAATTTAGCATTCCAGTGGCAGGGATGGCAGGAAAATGCAATTTAATTGGGGATGTGTGCCAGGCTCTTGCATGTAATCTTTTTTCTGGGATAGGATCACGTTTGCTGGGCTCTTCCCAAGCACCAGGAAAAAGTTGTGTGGCTCTGATTTTTCCCAGACTAAGCCTCAGGCTTTTAAAGCAGTGTTTGATTAAGGATGTCAGATTAAGGTCTCACCCTGGTGAAGCAAAAATAATAAATATACATTTGGTTTAAACACGTTTTGGCAGAGATGGGGGAGGAGGGAAAAAGGAGGCTGGAAGTGGAGGAATCTTCCATCCTCAGGTGAGCAGTGGGTGAGGTTTGGTTTGGACACGTTTTAAATGATAATCTGGGAGGGGAAGGAAAAACAGAGAGCAGGGAAAAATTGGAATTAACATCTAACAAAAAATGTGAGGAACGAATGCATGGAGGAGAAAAAGCACAGAGGAAAATTCCTGAGGTATCACAGCTGAGGATTGAGAGCAATTCCAACCTGAAAATAGGGAAAAACCCAGGGAATAACCAAGGTTTTCCCAGTTTTTTTTTTCTGTTGCATCTCAGGCAGTGCCCCCAAAGTGTCAGAAGGGATCAGTGCCCAAACTCTGGGTGGTTCCTGGGGCTGGCTGAGACATTTGTGTTACAATAAAGGTTCCTGGCACTGTGGTGGAATTTGATCAGCCTGACCATTTAATTTCATTTCATTTCATTTCAAACTGTACCAAGCTGCTCCTGATAATGGTAATTTTTCCTTTTTCCTTCAGTCACAGTGAAGTTTCTCCTGGGGAGAGTGAAGACCCATTTCAGTCGTGTAGAGGATCCCACAGGCACATAAATGCAGGTGTGTTGGTTTTGGGAGTTCATTTTTTGTTTGTTTTTTTAGTGGGAGGATTAAACTCATAAACTGTAAAATTGGTTTGGGCTTTCTAAGCTAAAGCTTAGGAAAACATGGAACAAAGAACACAAATAACTCAAATAACTTTCTGCTCTTTCTATTTAAGCACTTGGTATAAAATGCAATTTTCTTTTGAGTCAGAGCTGCCCTGTTGTGCATCCCTGGCATTGTAAAAATTCTTGCATTAAAACCTACCCAGTGCTACCCTTTCCTCCTGCAGGGACAGAGAAGTAGTAATAAAAAATAAATGCCAATAAATCTTTTCAAATACATCATGACTCATAAAGCATTAGGAGCTTCAAACACAAAGGGTGAGAGGGGAGAAAACAATGAGAAATATTTTGCTCTTAAGGGGTTGTAAAAATAGAAAATGACTTTTTTTTTTTTTTTTACTTTAAGAGGGAAACATAAAATGAGCTGTTTAAATTGCTCAGGCTCAAGTGTTGTTTTCCAGCCAATTAGGTGCTGAAGGATGTGAAAATTATTTGTGCTTTGAGAAGAGAAACTTTTCAGAATAGTTGTGGAGGCAGCAGAAGAGAAGGGAATGAATCCCAGAACCAGAATAACCACTGACATTTCTTTTTTCCCCCCTTTTCACCTCGTTGGTTTGGAATAAATCCCCAGCTGAGGGTTTTGGAGAGTTGTGGTGCTGGCCCCTGGCAGGCAGCCCCAATGGATAATTCCTGATTTTGTTTGATGGATAATTAATAATAATAATAATAATAATAATAATAATAATAATAATAATAATAATAATAATAATAATTCCCCTTTGCTCTTTTCCCTCCTCTCCCAGTATCTCAACGTAAAAGAAGATTGCAAAGCCATGGCTTTCTGTGCAAAAATGAGGAGCACAAAGAAAAATGAACTCAACCTGGAAGCTCAACACCAGGGGCTGGAAATCCTCTTCTACCTGCAGGACAAAGCCCCCATTTGTTACTCCAGCGGCGAGTTCACCTCGGAGGAGCTGTGCATCGAGGCTGCCCAGAGGTGTTGTGAGTATTTGCATTTATTTCAGCTCTCAGGGGCCTGGCAGAGCCCAAAGTGAGGCATCCCCTGGCTGGCATCAGGGAAGAGCCACCTTATCCCAATAAATCCCTTCAAATCTGCTTTACCTCACGTGGCAGCCCCTCCCTCTGGGCTGGGGCACAGCAAAACACCTGGAATTCCCCAGGAAAAAGTGGATTTCATCTCTGTTTGATCTCACAGCCCACTGGGCTTTTGTATTTCTTATATCTAAAAATATTTTATATATTATATATAAATTATAGAATATATTACAATATATATTATAGTCTATATATTACATAATATAAATTATTATATATTATTATCTATTTTATATATAATATATATAATATTTTTGTATATAGAAACCCAGTGTGTTTTTATATTTTTATATATAAAATATTTTATATTATATAATATATAATAATATATTTTGTTTATAATATATATTATATAATATATATATTACATTTTATATAATATATAATATATATTATTATATATTATACTCTATATATTATATAATATTTATTATAGATATTATATATTTTTAAAAATATTTTTATATATAGAAGCCCAGTGGCTTATATATTTTTATATATAAAAATATTTTATATTATATATAATATATAACAATATATTTAGTATATAATATATATTATATAATATATATTATTATATATGTATATATATTTAATATTTTATATATAGAAGCCCAGTGGGTTTTTATATTTTTATATATAATAATATTTTATATATTATATATATTACATTATTTATGATATAATATATTTTATATATAATATATATTATATATATATGCATTTTGAAAATATTTTTATATCTAGAAGTCCAGTGGGCTTTTTATATTTACAGTTCTGAGGTTCTTTCCCCATGAAACAGCAAATGTTACCCAGCTGCTGTGGGGTGTGCAAAGGGAACTGGGCAGGAATTTCCCTGCAGCTCTCAAGGACAAACCTCACCAAATGAGAGCTGGTGATGTTTTTGGAGAGATTTGAGCAGAGTCAGGGGATTTAATTTTTAAATAAAAATTTAAATAAATTTATAAATAAATTGAATATTTAGTGAGGGTACCTGTTCCTGCTGGTGTGCAGGAGCTGCTCTTTTGGGGCTGTGAAGCCACAGCTGGTGCAGCTGCTCCCAAAACTGAAACAGTGAAGCCACAGCTGGTGCAGCTGCTCCCAAAACTGAAACAGTGAATTTTAACAGATCTGTGAATTCTCTCCCAAATTTGCCCTAAACCAGGACAACAGCACAGGTGTGGGGTGGGCTCATAGCATGTATCAAAGATTAATATCAAAGATTGATATCAAAGATTGATATCAAAGACTGATATCAAAGATTGATATCAAAATTGATTCCCAAGACTGATGTCAAAGTCTGCTCTTTGCTAAAACCTCCTTTCAGCTCTGGAGGTTTCAGCTCTGGAGGTTGAGTTCATTCCCGAAATAAAGCTGAGAACAAAGTTGTGGGTTTGGTGAAACTCCCATTTCTGTGACCTGGACAAAAAATGAAGGTTTTTATTCATTTCCTTGAAGCTCAGACCTTCAAGGGCAAAATCAGGATTTGAGAAAATGAAATTAAGAGCAGAAATATCTGTTCAATCCACCCCAAACCTCTGGGTTCAGCCGAGGTGACGGCTCCACCTCAACCTTTCCTCCCCGATATTTACTCCGAGCTAATCCCAGTATCTGTTTCATTTAGTGATCCAATATTTGCTTTTTGCGTTTTTTGGGCTGTGGGTGTGAGCTGGAGCTGATGATTCAGTCATTTGTGTGTTTTTGTGGCAGCTGTGTCCCCTCTGTGCCACAACCTCTTCGCTCTGTACGACGAGAACAAAAAGCTCTGGTACGCACCCAACCAGGTCTTCAAGGTGGAGGAGAAATCATCCTTCAGGCTCCATTATCGCATGAGGTAAGGGGAAACACCTGCAAAATGAGATTTATTTCTTCCTCAGCACCCTGGAGAAGGAGAAAAAGCAAAACCAAAAGCAGCAGCTTGGTTTGTACAGCTTTAGAGGAGAGGTGGGTGGTGGGAGCTTCAAATTTCTCCTGATTTCATTCAAATTTCTCCTGATTTCATTCAAATTTCTCCTGAATTCTTTCAAATACCTCCTGATTTCTTTTATCTCCTGATTTCTTTCAAATATCTCCCAATTTCCTTGAAATACCTCCTGATTTCATTCAAATTTCTCCTGATTTCTTTCAAATTTCTCCTGATTTCTTTTATCTCCTTATTTCTTTCAAATATCTCCTGATTTCTTTCAAATATCTCCTGGTTTCTTTCAAATTTCTGATTTCCTTCAAATATCTCCTGATTTCTTTCAAATTTCTAATGATTTCCTTGAATTACCTCATGATTTCTTTCAAATTTCTACTGATTTCTTTCAAATTTCTCCTGATTTCATTCAAATTTCTCCTGATTTCTTTCAAATATCTCCTGATTTCTTTCAAATTTCTCCTGGTTTCATCTCCTGGTTTCTTTCAAATTTCTCCTGATTTCTTTCAAATTTCTCCTAATTTATTTCAAATATCTCCCAATTTATTTGCATCTTTGGGATTTAACCTTGAAAAAATGAAGTTGAAAAGCCACCAGAAGTTGTTGGGAACAACTTTGGAGAGTGAAAAAGGTCAAAGTTAATTGGAAAATTTGCTCCAAAGCTCTGGGTTTTGTGTTTTTAGGGATGAATTTCCATTTGAAGTGTTCCTGTTCCCACTGAAATCCTGGTGATTTTTAAACCAAAACTCACAGAAACTCTGTGAGTGCCCTCTGCTTTTCACACTCAATTTCTTTCTTTATTTTTTTTTTTAAAAAAACCCCAGGATTTTGTAATATCCTGGAGTCATTGGCTCAGGGAGGAGGAGAATTTAACTCTTCCCGTGCTGGGTTTGTTTTTTGGTCTGGAAAAGGGATGCAGCTCCCTTCTGGAGGGATTTTGGGATTATGATCCTCCAGATCCTTTCCAGCCTCTCTGGGATAACACAATTTCCTGGAGGCTCTGGGAAGAAGGAGCTGCTGGAGGTGAGTGAGCACAGCAGGGCCCCTCCAGCATTTCCAGCACTCCCTGGCCAGGCTGAAATCAAAATCCTCCTTCCCAAAGATTCCCAAATTCCCAGCTCCTGGAAGATGCTCTGGAGGAGGGCTGGCTCCTGCTCCTGGAGCTCAGGGACACAATTCCCTTCCCAGCTCATTGGGAATGGGGAAATTTGTGCTCCTATTTCTGTTGGGGAAGTGAAATTCCAAAAAAAACCACTCACATGAATCCATGGAGCTTTCCAAGGAAAAGATTCTCCCTTGTTTACTCATCCCTCAAACAATGAGGCTCCAATTGTTTTTGTAACTCCTCAGTGCAGTCTTAATCAGAGCAGTTAATTAGGAATAGGAACAAATTCTCCTCTCAACCACAAACAATGCACAATACCTCACATAATGATGATTTTCAGGAAATAACAGAAGAGTTGGAGTTATTAATTCTGACTGCTCTTCTGCAGGAGAGGGGGGAAGCAAAGTCATTTCCTTTGGATTTCAGAAGGATTTGCTTTGCTCTGCTCTTCAGCCCGAGGAGTCCTTGAGTATCTTCTGGTTCTTGTCAGGAGTTTTTGGCACAGCTTTGGGTTGGAGTTCCTGCCTAAGGAGAGCTGAAATAAAAATTTAAATTTTATTTTGCTGAAGGTCCTGACTCTGCCCTGAGGCTGAGACACTCCAGCCTTGACCACTGCAGATTTGGGGTTTTATAAATGTCAATATCAAACTGGTTTGAACTGGGAGGGACCTGCAATCCCATCCCATCCCCTCCAGGGACAGCTGCCACTGTCCCAGGCTGCTCCAAACCCATCCAGCCTGGCCTTGGGCACTGCCAGGGATCCAGGGACAGCCCCAGCTGCTCTGGGAATTCTATTCCAGGGCCTCCCCATCTTCCCAGCCAGGAATTCCTTCCCAATATCCACCTAAATCTATCCACTTCCAGCTTAAAGCCATTCCCTGTGTCCTGTCCCTGCAGCCCTTGTCCCCAGTCCCTCTCCAGCTCTCCTGGAGCCCCTTCAGGCCCTGCAAGGGGCTCTGAGCTCTCCCTGGAGCTTCTCCTCTCCAGGGGAACATTCCCAATCCTTTCTTTCCTCACAGGAGAGCAGCTAACAAAAAAAAGGAAATAAAAAATCTAATAACACCTGATAATTTTATCATTTCCCCCCAGTTCCTCAGGCCAGGAACGTGCTCAGAATGCCAGATCACCAAGGCAGAAATTTGACTGAGTTTTGCTTTTTACAGCTTTGCTTTTCAAACTCCAAATTTGTTTGTGGAAATGGAGACTTTTCCCCAAAAAAAGGTTTTAAAGTTCCTAACTGGTTTTTTTTTTCCAGATACTATTTCACCAACTGGCACGGGACCAGCGAGAGCGAGCCCTTGGTGTGGAGACATTGCCCCAGGAAAGCCAAGGCCTATGACAAGAAGCTGGCCCCAGAGGGAACCCCCATCCTCGATGCCAATTCCCTGGAATACATCTTTGCCCAGGTTGGAATTGTCTCTGCTGCTCTATTCCCATGAAAAACAACGGGATTCTCCTTTAAAAACCTTTTTTTCAAGCTCCTGGAATACACATTAGTGCTGTTAGTGCTGGAAAGGGTTTTTCCTTTTGCTGCTGCCTGGTGGAGAGGAGAGGATTTGCTACATGAAGTAAAGAAAACTCTCCCAGCCTAAAATTTTATTTTCTTTTAAAGAGAATTATTTGTGTTTATAAAGGCTGTCAGTCACCTTTTGTGGGACATTTCCACTGGGACATTCTGGGGCTGGAGAGGAGCAGCAGAGGGAAATCTGGAAGGGCTGGGTCCTTTTAATGAGGTTTTTTAATTGGGTGATGATAAAAGATTGATAAACATTCCCTGATTACCCCATGATGATAAAGATTGATAAACCCACTGCACTTCTGCTCTCCTCTTGTGCCTTCCAAAGGATTTTTCAAACCAGAAAGTGTCAGGTTTCACAAAAAAAAAAAAAAAAAAGGGAAAATTCAGGTTGATGAAAGAGCAAATTGAATGCTCAGGGGAAATTTAATTTACTTTTGATTCAGAGTAGAATTCCTGCAGGATTTTCACACTTGGAAACAGGAGTTTGCCCTTCAGAAAAATACACAACGTGGAGCTGCTCCAGCAATTCCTTGTTTTGTTGGGAAACCACAAGGAAAGGGAATTCCAGGAGGAATTCCACTGAGGCACAGAAATGTCTTTGCTCTTTGACAACCAAACACTTTCCAGGCTGTCCCAGGGTAGGACTTGGCTTGGAGATGAATCCATGAGAGTCATGGAGACTTTGGGTGAGAAGGGCAGGGAAAAACCAGAGACACAAAGTTGTTTTTTTACACCAGACAATAAAGATTGAAGGTACTAAAAAGGGCCAGGGGTGGTGATTTCTGTAGTTAATTTTATAAAAAGTGGATTTTTGGTGTGCTGACGCATAAAAGAAGGGCAGGAGGTTCCAATTTGTCCTTGTTTAAGGATCCTGGGATGAATTCCTGGCTCGGGGACAAACTCTGGGAAAGGCCAAATGGATAATTTGTTGTTTTTTGTTCTGTCAAGGGCCAGTATGACTTAGTGAGGGGCCTGGCCCCCATCAGGGACCCCAAGAACGAGCAGGAGGTGCACGAGATCGAGAACGAGTGTCTGGGGATGGCTGTCCTGGCCATCTCCCACGACGCCATCAAGAAAAACGTGAAGCTGCCAGAGCTTCCCAAGGACATCAGGTGAGCTGAGATCCTCCATCCCTGCTGGCTCTGTGCTCCCCCAGCAGGAGCTGAACACTCCTTTTCCCTTCCAGTTACAAGCATTACATCCCCGAGACTCTCAACAAAACCATCAGGCAGAGGAATTTCTTGACCAGGATTCGGATCAATAACGTTTTCAAGCATTTCCTGAAGGAGTTCAACAACAAAACCATCTGCAACAACAGCGTCTCCCCTCGGGATCTGAAGGTGAAATATTTATCCACCATGGAGATCCTGACCAAATATTACGGGGCAGAGATTTTTGAGACGTCGTTTTTGCTGATTTCTGCCGAGAACGAGATCAATAAATTTAATTGTGGAGATAACGAGAAGTACGAAGTGATGGTGACAGGAAACAACGGGATTCAGTGGAGGCTCAAGCCCAGTGTGAGTAACCTCTCATCAATGGGAATTAAAGGATTTTTTTGGGGATATAACAGCTGTTAAAAGATGGTTTTGAGCTTCAGACACTGCAAAGCAGTTTTTATTGGAGAGGCTTTTATGGGATTACAGGATTATCCAGGAAGGAGCTCAGGAAGTTCCAGCCCAACCCCCTTTTTAGGCTCAGTTTTGAGACCAGACCAGGCTCAGGACTTTTATCTTGAAACCTTCCAAGAATTTGGAATTTTTGGACTGGAGCCCTTTTCCAGGAAAATTAATGACTCTGTGAAAAACATCCCAGAATTAAATAGCTTTATTCTATGTATTAGAATACATTATATTCTAAATTTAATATTATTATTCTATCATTTATATTAATTTTATAATTAATATTGTAATTCTAATTAATAATTAATTTATATCATTATTCTAGAAGGAAATTTTGGTATAGAGTAAATGTATTGCAATACATTATACTGTATATTTTATATTATTATTCTATAATTTATATTAATTTTAGAATTTATATTATAATTCTATTCTCTAATTCTAACTAATAAATAATTTATATTACTATTCTAGAATGAATTTTTGTATAAAGTAAATGTATTACAATACATTATATTCTATATTTTATATTATTCTATAATTTATGTTAATGTTATGATTTATATTATAATTCTATTCTATAATTCTAATTAATAAATAATAAATTTAAATGCATTACAATGCATTATATTCTATATTATATTGTTGTTCTATAATTCATATGAATGTTGTAATTTATGGAATAATTCTATTATATCATTCTAACTAATTAATAATTAATTTATATTAATATTCTGGAATGAATTTTGCTGTAGAGTAAATACATTACAATACATTATATTTTATATTGTTATTCTACAATTTATATTAATTTTTAATGTATAATTAGAATAATTAGAATAATTAGAATAATTCTATCATTCTAAGTCATATATTTATATTAATTATTTTATTTTTATTTTATTAAATTCATTAAATATTGATTCATTAATTCTAACTTATTAATAATTTATAGCAATACATTTTCATTAATGAATTAATTTCTATCACAACTCTAGAATGCATCTTTGGTTTAGAGTAAAAACTCTGTGCTAAACATGTTTTACCTGAAGCTTTTATTCCCAAACACTTGCAGCCTGTACAGACAGAGAAAGAGAAGAAGAAAAAATCCGATGGCAAAACCAAAAAGGAGGAGGAAAAGCACAAACTGCGGGAGCTGTGGAACAATTTCTCCTATTTCCCTGAAATCACCCACATCGTCATCAGGGACTCCACAGTCAGCATCAACAAGCAGGACAACAAGAGGATGGTGAGAATGAACTCCTGGCACAGAGAATTTTATACAAATTACCCCAAACACGCTTCTGCTGATTGAATCATTAATCCAAATTAATCCCTGCATGGATCATTTCCCTTCCAGGGTGGGGTTGGGTGAAACTTTTTCTCTTTTTGGTTGTGCTGCACTTGTCACACCTGGATTTCCTGGTCCCCTCTGAGCTCCTTTGGGATCCTCCCTCACGGGTGGTTCTGTTTATCTCAGTTCTCTGGGTCAGGAGAAAACTCCAGAGCTTGTTGGGATTTTGTTTCTCGTGTTTATTGGGATGTTTGCACAAATCCTGGCAGGTCTCTCCAGACTTTCTGCACAACTTCAATTCATCCTGCCCCTTGGGCTCAGATGGCACAAAATGGCCCCAAAACACGTGGCTGTTTCATCTTTACATCAATTTTTATCCAATTAACAATAGACATGTAAATTATTTTTCTTAATGACCCATCACCTTGTTAGCATTCAGGAACAGATAATGATTATATGAAGATGTTTTATTAAGAGCTCTGGGTGTCAGGGGTGCACAGACCCAAACCTGACCCAACTTGGTTTCGAGCTGAACATGTTTTTATACTCCATCATTATATAACTTACATATTAATTATTAATGTTCTATTGTATACATTGATTTTACCCAAGCATGGATTTCTTGTGATCCCCCCCAAACCCCTAACATAGTTTCTCTTTATTCTTTAAATAATAATTATATCTAATCACATCTAACATTTATCATATATTGACTACATGGGTGCAGTTTCACCTGATCAAGCACAAGGTCTAACATTTCCCAGGGCCTACTTTTAACACTTTTCCCAGGGCTTTACCAAGCTTAACTTTCTTTCTAACTCTGCAAATTTTTTATGATTTAAAAATCTTTTACTATCAACCTGTGTGCTGCACTGTGGCATTCTCTACCCAATCACCCACTACTACCCAAAAACCTCTAGAAAATGAAGAAAGAAGGAAAAGAGACAACACCCTAAATCTTCCCTCTTGTCTTCTGTTCTCTAAACTAGTTTAAACTCTAAACTTTAACTTTTTCACCCATTGACTTTAGAAAACTCTCTAATTTACACACTCACACTTCTAGCTTTTCTATTTAACAGTTGTTTTCATGAAAACATGCCCATGAATTTCATGTTCTATGAAATTCAGTGTTCTCCTGGATCTCAGAGCCAGGCGTCAGAGACAAGGGCACACACTCTGTCTCAGACTCCAACAGCTGGGAAAAGGTGACAACTTGAGGGCCATTTTGAGAGTAAATCACCCAAAACTTGCTCTCCTTGGCACTGGGCAGAGCAGAAGTGTTAAAAGTGGTCGAGTGCAGCTCTGTCCACGGCGGCACAAAATTTCCCCTCCCAAATGCCACGAGGAATTCCAGAGCTGGCGCCAGCAGAGAACCGAGCGGCCGCTAAATCCCAACACCCTGCAGCCAGAACTTCTTCCTGGCTCATTCATAGCAACATTCCAGGGATTTTGCAGCATTCCTGGTGTTCTGAGTCTGGCCTGTGTTTGGTGGCAGGAGTTGAAGCTGGGCTCGCACGCCGAGGCGCTGTCCTTCACCTCGCTGGTCGATGGCTACTTCAGGCTCACGGCGGACGCCCACCACTACCTGTGCACGGATGTGGCTCCTCCCCTCATCCAGCACAACATCAAAAACGGCTGCCACGGGCCCATCTGGTCAGAAAATTCTTTTCTTCAATGCTTTTTGGAGGGGTTTTTTTGGTTTTTGGTGATTCCCTCTTTGTCGTGAATCCGCGGGGTTTGGGTGGGCGGTGGTTGTCCCGAAAAGTTCATTTCATTAAAGGGAAAAGAATCAGTGTTTCTCTCTCTACTCATCTGTAAATTCAGTGTTTCTGCACTCAAGGGGTGTCCCAAGAGTTTCCTCCATGGACACATGGGAGTATTTTAGGTAGGGAGTGGAAGTGTCTCTGCACTCGCCCCAGGACTCCTTGGATGGATGAACAAAACCTTGGCTTTTTAAACACCTCAAGGAATTCTCTTCCCTCCACCCACCTTTGTGGCTTTTCCCTTTATGTTTAAGCTGCAAACTGTGAAATTCCAGGAGTTCACTTGCACGATGTTGGATGCAGAATTCTCTTTAATAAATCCTTCCTCCCTTGCTCTGTGCAGCCCAATGTCAGCAAGGCACCTTTAAATCCTATTTTAATAACAGAAATATTTCTAAGCTGCTGTTACACCCCCAAATAGAAGTTTGCTCTCATGTCCCATCCCAAAAGATAGATTTTTGGATGTCCCTTTGTTGGTTTTGCTCACTGTCTGTTCCCTTCCAGCACGGAATATGCCATCAACAAGCTGAGGCAGGAGGGGAACGAGGTGGGGATGTACGTGCTGAGGTGGAGCTGCACCAACTTCAACCACATCCTCATGACTGTGACGTGCTTGGAAGGCTCAGAGGTACAGCCAGCTGGGCATTCCCAGCAGGAATCTGCTCCCTGGAATCCCTGGGGATGTGTTTTTATCCTTAGGGCACTCAGCCTGATCTCTGAGCAGGGAATTGGGATTTTTTTCCAGTCCTTTGTGCTCCAAATAGGATTAATTAGATCCAGAACAGCTCCAGTCCTCCCAATCAAACTGTGCAGGGACATGAGAAACATGAAGCATTTTAAACTCAGGACACAGAGAATTTGTCACTTCACCTTGCCTTGAGCACGGTTCAGCTTCCCTGGGGCCTTTTTGGGAATGGATTTAATTCCCTTGATAGATTTTATTCCCCCAGCAGCCTCAGCTGGAAGCCTGCAGCTGACTTGGTGGTTTGGAGGAATATTTAAAGTGTTCACACACTAATAAACAATAAATAAGAAATAATAAACAATGATAACATAAATCCTCCTCTTAGGAAAACCAGCCATGGAATCAGTGGTGAGTCAGGAAGGGATATTTGATACTGGGTTTATCTCCTGTAGATTTTTTTTTTTTAAAAAAAAAAAACCTCTCTAACAGTGAAACAAGAAAGGAATTTTGCCTTGGAAAAGAGGGAAGGGAGAAGTGACCCAAAGCTGCAGAGGGGAGACCCTGAGAGCTGTGGAGATGGGGAAGTTCAGAAGTTCAGCCCTTGCCCAGCACCTCTGAGTGGAGCTGGAAGATCTCAACACCAGCCTGAAATCTCGTGGAACACTCTGGGGTGGGGAAGGGAGCTTTGCTATTTTTAAGTTGAGATTTTGAAAGCCTGATTGCTCCAGATTCTGCAATTCTTGACCAAAGAAAGAAAATTCCTCCAGAAAGGCAAAACTGCTTAAATCTCAAACTCTGCAAAAAAACCCAACCAAACATAATTTGGGCTTGCTGGGTGATTGATCTTTATTATGCTGCTCTTCTCTTTGAGCCTTCCAGGGAGTGAAAATTCCAGGAATTTTAGGGTTTTTTCTGCTTTGTTGCAGTTTGATTAAAGGACCTTGACTTAGGAACAGGGCCTGAGCTGGTTCCACGTGCAGTGCCAAGATTTTGGGAAGCTTTGGTGGCTTCACAAACAATTCTTTCACTCCAGTGACCCAATTTGCTTTCTTTTTCTCCCTGTCCCTCCAACACCAGGTGATGAATAACTCAGGCCCCTACAAGAACTTCCAGATCGAGGTGAAGAAAGGGGGGTACTTCCTCCATGGCTCCAACAAATCCTTTGCATCCTTGAAAGACCTCATGGATCACCTGAAGGGACAAATCCTCCGCACAGACAACATCAGCTTCACCCTCAAGAGGTGCTGCCAGCCCAGACCCAGAGGTAGCTTTGGCCTTGCAGGGTTTTGTTGTTGCAAGGGAACAAATTCCAGACACCAGGAGGCTTTTTTAGTGTATTTTTGCTGTGTCCTGGTGTGAAGCTCTTTAAAAAAACAAGAGGTTTGAAGTTTTTTTCCTTCTCTGGGGAGGAAACAGAACAGGTAGGCAGGGCTGAGGAGGGGGGAAGAGGAACCTGCTGTGTTTGCTGTCACTGTGAGCTGCTGCTGAGGAGCTCATGTGCACGAGGCTGCAGGGAAGGGTTCTGGTCCCAAGGGATGTCCTGAGGAGCCTGGTGGCAGGAGATCATCTGTGAGGTCCCATCTGAGGGACAATGGGGCGGTTGTTGGGTGATGGCAGCGCTCCCTGGAGCTGTTTGCTATGAACTCTGTCTCACAGCTGAATTTGGTGTGAGAGAGGAAGCACAGTGGGCTGATTGTGCTGAGCTGATAATGGTTTCCTGTTAGAAGCAGGGGAATAACTGAGCCACATCCATCACCTGCTGCTCTGAGGCTTTGGGACAGTCCCTGAGCTTCTCCCACTCTGCACAAAGCACGTGGCTCACGCTCTGGAGCAGGGGGACATCGCACATTTGACATTTTGGTTTCTTTTTAATGGCTGGATTTGGGATAAAATAAAATCAAAAGGGTCAGGGAGTTGATTGCCCACTTCAGCTTGTCCCTGGCTTTAGTTCCAGCAGGATTCAGTGTGTGTTCCCTGTTCTGTCTCTTCCCCTGGTGGGTTTGTTCCTTCTGTTTGAATATTTAATCAGATATTCACAAAGAAGCTCAGGGGATGCAGGGCTAAAGCAGTTTGGCAGGGTGTGGTTATTGCTGGTGATTCCAGAGCTGCAGATGATGATTTAGCCCCAGCACCAGGTTCTGCTCTCAGCAGCTGGTGCTTCCCAGAGCACAGGGAATTAGGAAGGAGGTGAAGAGGAGATGAGACTCCCCCTTGCACACTGGAAAGGAGATGGCCCTGCTGGCAGGAGGCCATGGGGGATATTTTATTCCATTTTATTCCATGTACAGCGCAGGTATTTCCTCTTTCAATCTTCATGCAGAAAACTCTGTTCAGTTGCTCAGTATCACCTGATGTGGCTGACAACAATTCAGTATTGAAAATACAAACATGAAACTGTGCTTTAATGATCTCTCTGTTGAACAAAGAGCAGAAACCAAATCCAAGTTTCTTTTTTCCTCTCCTTTTTCAGGGGATTCGAATGCATTTCCATCCTTGGAAGGAAAGGAAGTTTTTCCTTTGTAAAACTTTATTTTCTCCCCTCTGCCTTGCAGAAATCTCCAACTTGCTGGTGGCAACCAAGAAGGCTCAGGAGTGGCAGCCGGTGTATCCCATGGGACAGCTGAGCTTCCACCGCATCCGCAAGGAGGAGATCGTGCAGGTGGGTGCTGGGCAGCCCCAGGAGCCCGGGGTGGAATGCCTTGGGCTGGAAATTAATTTGGTATTGAAGTTTTCTCATGGAAAAAAAGGGTTTTAAGGTCATTTCTTGGGAGTTTTGAGAGCTGCTTTGTTGTGGGTGTTATTTTTTTAAAGCCTGACTCAACAGAGAAACAGAGGTTTAAGGCAATATTCTACAAAATTTCTAAATTTCTAAAAAAAGGTGAACTATTCAAAAGCTCTGAGCAGTCAGAATTCTGTGTTTCAACCTGCCCAAATTTTCAGATTTCCCTATGCTTATAGTTGATTATATATAGTATATAGTTTATAGTTTATTCAGGTGACTTATTCAGGTCACCTGAATAAACCTCAACAACCACACAGGGGCTTGAATACACTTAAATCAGATTTAATATTGCTCAAAGAGCTCTTAAATCGTTCACTTGGCTTCTTCTGTGAAATCAAAAGGTATTGGGGGTTTTTAGCTGCATCACACACAGAGGTTTGGTTTGGGTTGGTGTATTTACAGGCAGCATCCTGCAAAAATATCCCAAGGCAGGATGTTATTTTGGAGGAAATTACTTCCCCAAACAAAGCCTTCCAGTGAAATATTACTTCCTCTCACTTTTGGAAACACATTAAAGATCACCTCAGTAGCAGGTTGTGAATAAGAGCCCCAGCTGTTGTTTATTCATTTGTTTAGTCTGGGAATGTTCAATCCCAGGGAACCTGTTGGATGATGTGGAGGTGTCACATCCGAGGAATTCACGTGGGGAGGATGCTCACAGCTCACTCTGTAATTGGGAATAATTTGAATTTGTATCCAGATCAGCCAGAGACAGTAAAAAGCACAGATTCCAATAAAAAATTGTGTAACTCTTGTTTGCTTCCTGCCTGACAAATCCCTGCTGCTGGGTCTCAGGGAGAACACCTGGGAAGAGGGACCAGAACCCAGATTTACTCAGGGATGCTCAGCCTCAAGGATGACGAGAACGAAGGCTATCAGAATGAGAAAGAGATCCGAGTCCTGCTCAAAGTCCTGGACCCCAGCCACAGAGACATCTCCTTGGCAAGTTTCTTTTCCTTTTTGTGTCTTGTAGATGGATAATTTTTAAAAAAGGGTTGGGAATGGGGAAATGCTGAAGGTTTGCTCATCCCTCCCCTGCTGACCCTCGATGTGCCTAAACCCAGGGGGGTTTTTGTGCTGCTGTTTGTGTTCTGAGCTGAGGGAATGTGGATTTCTCTCCCCTTGGCAGGCATTCTTTGAGACAGCCAGCATGATGAGACAGGTGTCCCACAAGCACATGGTGCTCCTGCACGGCGTCTGCGTCCGCGACGTGGAGAGTGAGTCTGGGGAGGGAGCTGGGGACACCATGGGGCTGCCAGCCACAAATGGCCAACATTTGGGACAGCAAAGCACCTCCAAAGCCTTCCTGCCAACAAATTTCCTGTTCCAACGCTGTGTTTCAGCTCTAAATGCTTTTATCCCAAGAAATTTCCCATTCCAATGCTGTGTTTCAGCTCTAAATGCTTTTATCCCAACAAATTTCCCTTTCCAATGCTGCTTTTAAGCTCCAAAGGCTTTTCTCCCAAGAAATTTCCCATTCCAGTGTTGTGTTTGAGCTCTAAACGCTTTTCTCCCAAGAAATTCCTCTTCCCAACGCTGTGTTTGAGCTCTAAATGCTTTTATCCCAAGAAATTTCCCATTCCAATGCTGTGTTTGAGCCTTCCAGGGTGGTTCCCCCCTGGAATGCACCAAGGGCAGTGTGAGTACAAAGTGCCCTGTGGCAGGGGTGAAATTGATTCCATTTATTACAAATATACATTCATTTCTATAAAAGAAATGTATGTTTGTAATACTTATGTAATATTAAATTTATTCCATTTATTACAAATATATTCATTTTTATAAAAGAAGTGTATATTTGTAATATTGATGTAATATTAAATTTACAGCATTAAATTTATTCAGTTTATTACAAATATAAATTCCTTTGTATAAAATTAATGTGCTTGCAATATTTATGTAATATTAAATTTATTACAAATATACATTCATTTGTATATAATAAATGTATGTTTGTAATATTTATGTAATATTAAATTTATTATTTTGTATTTATTATTTTTTACAAACATATTCATTTGTATAAAAGAAATGTATATTTGTAATATTTATGTAATATTAAATGTATTACATTTATTCCAAATATACATTCATTTATATAAAAGAAATGTTTGTAATATTTATGTAATATTAATTACATTTATTACAAATATACATTCCTTTGTATAAATTAAATGTAGGTTTGTAATATTTATGCACATAAAGCATGTACACATTTCTATGTACAGATTTTTATGTTTATACATATAAAATACACCTATGCACATAAAAACTGTAAATATATACAGTACACCTTAAAATGACTTTTTAACCCAAGACAGTCCTAATGTTGTGCTGTGGATGCCAGAAGGAAAATATTTATTATTTATTTAGAAAATAAAAAATATTTAGAAATAAATAAATATTTAGAAAATATTTTAAAAATTTATTTTTTTATTTTTATTTAAAAATAATTAGAAAATAAAAAGCCAAATTGATCAGTGCTCCAGCCTTCGCTCTTCCAGACTCAGGACAGGAATTTATTTGTGGATGTTAAACCTGGCCATGCTTTATTGTTTATTTTTATGTTTATTTTTCTGCTATGTGCATTACAATTTGGAATGCCTGGTTCCAGGTTTAATGTTCATGAATCCCCTCAACTTTTTAATCTGAGCACTGAAAGAAACCTCAGGCAAGGTGAAATAAAAACATTTCCCAGGCATTTGGGCTGGGAGGTGGGAACAGAAATGAAAGGACTCGGATTTGCAGCGCTGACTTTCTGCCTTTGCAGATATCATGGTGGAGGAGTTTGTTGAGTGTGGGCCTCTGGATCTGTTCATGCACAAGAAAAGTGAACTTCTCACAACCCCATGGAAATTCAAAGTGGCCAAACAACTTGCAAGTGCCCTGAGCTACCTGGTAAGAGACCTTGGCAAAGGCACTGGGGTTAGTTGGGAATGCATTCCCCACATGGGAAAACTCTGTTTCCCTCCTTCCCCTCCAGGTGTAATTATGCATTTCAGCTTGGAATATTTTAGGGATCCCTTGCAGTGTGGAAATGCTGGAGCACTCACATCCCTCTCACTGTTCTTTCCCTGTTTTTCTGCAGGAGGACAAGGATTTGGTGCACGGCAATGTGTGCACCAAGAACATCCTGCTGGCCAGGGAGGGCATTGATAGCGAATATGGGCCTTTCATAAAGCTGAGTGACCCAGGAATCCCCATCACGGTGCTGTCCAGGCAAGGTATGTCCAGGATCCCCAGGGAAAGGGAGAAATGGCACTGATGGCAGCCAGAACTGGCTGGGGAATAGCAGTCACCAGCATTCATGGATCTGCAAACACACAGTGGCTGTGCACAGCATTCCTTTCTCTTACAAAATGTTGTGTCCAGTGAGGTGACGAAGGAATCTCAGTTTGTGGGTGGCAGGAACACCCTTCTGAAAACAGGAAATTTGAGAATCGAGAAATTGCTGGACAGATTTTGCAGCTCCAGTTTATTTCAGAGAAGAATGACTCAGTTAAAAGCTGTTTTTTCTGTGCTGTGATATTTATTCACTGTTCTATCCCAGAGCGCGTTGAGCGGATCCCCTGGATTGCACCTGAGTGTGTTGAAGACTCCATAAACCTCAGCATTGCTGCAGATAAGTGGAGTTTTGGTACAACCCTGTGGGAAATCTGCTATAATGGAGAAACTCCACTCAAAGACAAGACCTTAGCAGAGGTAAAACTGTGTTACACAAACTTGGATCCATCCTTTGGTTTTCCCCCTTGTCCTGTCCCTGCAGGCCTTGTCCCCAGTCCCTCTCCAGCTCTCCTGGAGCTCCTTCAGGCCCTGCAAGGGGCTCTGAGCTCTCCCTGGAACTTCTCCTCCCCAGACTGGACAATCCCAGTTCTCCCAGCCTTTTCTAACCCCTGTGTCCAGTTAGAAGCTGAGTGAGATTCTCCCAAACATCTCATTGTTTCTTTTGGATTGATTCCAGAGGGTCTCAGGGGGCACTGCTGCTGTTCACTGCAATTTAAAGAACTGGAGTCACTCTTGTGGTGCCCCTTCCTGCCTGTGGCCACAGCCCTGCAGGGTTGGGAATGCCCATCCCAGCCTTGTCCCACCTGGCCTGGAGCTGGGATCTCCCAGGGCTGTGAGGAACACCCAGGGTGTCCTTGGTAAACGTTTCCTGCTGCATAAATAACAGGGAAAACCTGGCAGGAAATGATTCCTGAAAGTGGAAGTACCCAGCACCTTTTAAACACTTCATGGGTGGTAAGTGGTGGCTCCAGATCCAGCACAAGAGGAATTCTCTGCTGTAAAGACCTGAATTCCAGCTGAAAAGGGAATTTCCTTGGCAAAGCTCACACTGAATTAAGGATTTAATGCTCACATCCTGTGATGTAGAATTGCTCAGGGATCCCCGAGTCCAGCCATTAGCCCAGCTCAGAACTGGGAGCCATGGAAGTTAAAATTCCTGGGATTTCTGTTTGTTCCTGCAGAAGGAGAGGTTCTACGAGGGGCACTTTGTGCTGGCCACGCCGTCCTGCAAGGAACTGGCAGACCTGATGAAGCAGTGCATGAACTACGACCCCCACCAGAGACCCTTCTTCAGGGCCATCATGAGGGACATCAACAAACTGGAGGAGCAGAGTAAGGCCCAGGGCCCACCTGGAGGGGGGACCATGGAATCTGGGGTGGGATCTGGAAGAGCACCTGGTTCCAACCTCGTGGAAGCTGAGGAGCTGCTACGGGGTGGGAAGTTCACCAAGAGAAATCTGGGTGTGGAAACAGATCCAGGATGCCTTGGAGTGTCCCAGCATGCAGGAATCTGACCTGGCATGATTTCCCCTCCTAGATCCAGATATTGTCTCAGAGAAGAAACCCGTCACCGAGGTGGATCCCACTCTCTTTGAGAAGAGGTTCTTGAAAAGCCGGGATTTGGGTGAGGTAAGAGGAATGTCACCCCCAGAACACAGCCAGCGCTCCTGGGTGTCCCCACAGCCACCCAGATCAGTGCCTGGGTGTCCCCAAAGCCACCCAAATCAGTGCCTGGGTGTCCCCAAAACCACCCAGATCAGTGTCTGGGTGTCCCCACAGCCTGTGCTGTGTCACACAAACACCCAAATCAGTGCCTGGGTGTCACTGCCTGAGCCTTGTCCTCAAGGATGCTCCTTTCTCTCCCACCCAGGAAATCGAAATCCTGAGGAATCTTTATCACGACAACATTGTCAAATACAAGGGGATTTGCACAGAAGATGGTAAATCCTGCAGAATATTAAAAGTGTATAGGTTTTCCTTTAGAACTGATCAATGTCCTGCCTGGAGCAGGTTTTCCTGTGGATTGGCTCAGGGATGGATGATGGCAATGAGCCATGGGATGTTTAAAACGCTGCCAGTGCTCTGGGCTTGTACAAAAGCTGTTGGTGTTCATGAAGTGAAAAGGGTCTGCACACTAAACATGCTCTGCTTTTTAGGAGGAAGTGGGATTAAACTCATCATGGAATTCCTTCCCTCTGGGAGCCTGAAGGAGTATCTCCCACGGAACAAGAACAAGATTAATCTCAAGCAGCTGCTCAGATACGCAGTTCAGATCTGCAAGGTGAGCCGGGCCCTGAGCCTGCAGCTCCTCTGCTCCATCAGCAGCGTGAGGGGATGGAAAACATCAGCAACAAACCCGTTCTCCTTCTTTATCCCCAAGGATCAGAACCCCAAAGCCATCTCTCCCATGCTTTGGGTGCTACTGGCACAAAGATCAACAGGGGAATAATGAGGAGGGTCCAAGTTCCAAAGTTTGCTGTGAGAAGTTGTTCCTGTGGGAGGATTTGGAGGATCAGGAGGGAGGGCAGCACTTGGAATGTGCTGGCTTGAGGAAAGGAGCGAGGTGAAGTGTAAAGGGATGGAGATGAGAATGCAAAGCATGGTCAGGCCATGTGAAACAGTAAATGGAGAAAAAGGGATTAAATACTGGAGGAATAAGAGGAAAGAAAAGGCTTCTCTTCTCCTCCCTTAGGGCATGGACTACCTGGGCTCCTGTCAGTACGTGCACCGTGACCTGGCAGCGAGGAATGTCCTCGTGGAGAGTGAGAACAGGGTGAAGATCGGGGACTTTGGGCTCACCAAGGCCATCGAGACGGATAAGGAATATTACACCGTCAAGGACGACCGCGACAGCCCCGTCTTCTGGTACAGCCCTGGGACCAGGCTGCAGGACAGGGACCCCTCTGCTCCCCTTCTCCCCAAGATTGTTCCTGTTTTTATAAGAGGCCTAAGATACACCATGAGAGCAAGGAAAAGGCACCTGGTGGACTGTACTCACCTCTTGTGTTGTTTATTTCTTCCTGCACTTAATGATCCATTTCCCCACTACTCTGGGTTTGGTCTCCTTGGTTTCACTGTGGAACACACTTTATTTTTTTCTTTTTAATTTATGTGTAAGGGCTCCACAAGCACAGCTGTGGCTCTTGAGTCGCTCTGGCTGTGTGTGAGCTCTGGGTGTGATGCTGGCCCCTCGTGTCCCCAGGTACGCCCCGGAGTGTTTGCTGCAGAGCAAGTTCTACATCGCCTCCGACGTCTGGTCCTTCGGGGTGACGCTCTACGAGCTCCTCACCTACTGTGACTCCGAGTCCAGCCCCATGGCAGTAAGTGGCTGGGACAGAAATGGCTGCCAGAGCTGCTTCAATCCCATCATTTTAAAAAAATTATCCTTGCTTTTGACAACAAAAAGAGGAAGCAGAGAATCGTGGGCTCGTTTGGGGTGGGAGGGAACTTAACGCTCATCTCATTCCACTCTGTCCATGGGGAACACCCTGGTGGGTGTCCCTGCAGTGGGGTGAGGGATTCCTAGCTGATCCCGCTGTCCCCACAGGAATTCCTGAAGATGATCGGCCCCACACAGGGACAGATGACGGTGGCACGGCTTGTGAGGGTCCTGCAGGACGACAAACGGCTGCCACGGCCACCCACCTGCCCTGAGGAGGTGAGGGATGGATGGATGGATGGATGGATGGATGATGGATGGATGATGGATGGATGATGGATGGATGATGGATGGATGGATGATGGATGGATGATGGATGGATGATGGATGGATGATGGATGGATGAATGGATGATGGATGATGGATGATGGATGATGGATGGATGATGGATGATGGATGGATGATGGATGGATGATGGATGATGGATGGATG